GGACTAGTTATTTCATACTTTACTCAAAATTATTTAATGACTATAAATAATCTCTAAATTAAACTTGACCTTAATTTTATCTCCACTATTGCAAAGTTGATTGTATRAGTCTTGTTCCTAGACTGTTGTTTGAAAAAAATATTATTTGCTTAGACAAAAACAATAATGTTTAACAGACTAAATGCAAACGTCACTCACTATTTATAATTTAAAGGCTACTTGTCCCTGTTCAATACAAGCAGTTCTCTTTTATGCTGAGAGAAAATGAGTTCATTTATTATTTTTTTCTTTTGAGTCCTGATTAGATAAATCAGATGGACAGATTAATGGGAGTAAATTGACAATCTGCAATCTTTTTCGGTTGGAATATTTTATGGCTGATGGAAAAATTTGAACAATTATGAATAAGTTATTATACAACAGGTGTTTAATGACAACAGATTAAAGCTATTCTTGTCTGCTTCTGGTAATGGCTTTTTTTAATCTTTAACTGAACTAAAACTTTGCTAAAAAAATTATAGTAAGAGCAGTATTTGAAAATTTATTTAAATCAATCCAGGAAAAAGTGTTTTTCCTTCCCAGACCTGAATAGATATGCTGCAGGTGAAATCAAATTTATAAGGAAATATATATATTATTATATTTATGAGGGGCACTAGTAGTGGTTGGTGGAGTGGGTCGTCATATATTATACTGAATTTAAATGCTCTGTTGATTTTTTTTGGAGGGAGGAAAACCAGAGAACCCACATTAAACACTCAAAGAAAGATTTGTTTGTCATATCAAACAACTTGGTTGCAAAGTCTTTGAATTGGTCCTTCTGTTTCTATACCACCTAAAAATGATATCCACTTAGTTCAAAAAACATTGGAGTTGGAGTGATTTGAAGTCTGAGACCAGGGAGCATGCTACAAATTGAAATATATTCACAGCCAGGCAAAATACTTTACTTTTAGATTGAAATATGAAGCATGACCTTTGAATTAATAATGGGTTTCTTCGTATTTTAGCCAGAAAATGTGAAAGTAYRAAAATTCTGTTTAGTCTCATATCACCCATTTTAGATCTCCCACTGACAACGTTTTTGGAATAGGTAATATAACTTGGTTACACGGTCTTTGGATTGGTTCTTTTATTTCCATGGAAAGGGATGCATTTTTAATATATTACCTATTAATAATATGATTACCACTTGCATATGGCTAGGAGTGATAGGGAGTCAACAGACAATGTAAATTGACACTTGTCTGGCCAAATACCCCTTAACACCAGTCCTCTTGACTGGTGACATTTTGATCTATCCAATGTGATGTGGCCAGCCATTTAAACCTCTCTGGCCAACCACCTCTTGATCAGTCCAATGTGGCCATTCAATGTGGGCGGGAGCAGACATTATAATTTATTTTAGCCCTGCACTTCTATAGCTAGTGCCAGCACTAATTATTCTTGTGATTACTTCCAGATCAATCAGAGTCAACCATGATATCTGAACATGGCTTCCCCACTGAACATGGTCACCATATGGTACCATACTACCTGCATAGTGGACGACCAGATATACCTCTTTTTATCCCAAGAGGAGCCCCTCTTCCTGGACCACCTCCACTGTTAGCATCAAARAGAGATGGTGCTGATCCCAATGCTGTGTCCCCGTTCTTCCAAGGCGTTTATCCACCCTCAGTAAGTCATACTCATATATATCCCACATCTGACACAGTGCACAGAAACCAAGTTAAAAATTTGCAAATGAAATTTCTTTCAAAATTCTATCGTCAAAGGCCAATTCGATACTTCCAAACCAATGTCTTTTTGGAACCCGCTGGTCAAAAGCAATATTAAATGTACTGTATAGTTTGTATTGATGTCTGGTGACTGTATTGTCTTTCATATTGAATAGCTGTTACTACTACACTCAGTTGAATCTACCTGTTCAAAGATTCTTGATTTTCAATTGCYGGTATAATGTTCTCCAATAGATTATGGATTCTCCTGACATGCATTTTGAGACCTGGAGACAGCAACGAGCAGTAGAGCATTTAAGACAGCAACATGAACGACAGGTACGGCCAGATATCACACAAAAAGTAGAGCACATACTACTCTTTCTGCATTAGTTTCTCTAACCTAAGTAAGTCATTAGCTTCTAATCACAGTCAAACTCACTCGTGCATTGCTATAAAGGTTTGAAGGTTTGGTTTATTTTTTAAAGTTAGATTTCAATATCATTTTGAAACTTGCTTACGAAACTAAAATTTGATGTACAATTTTCAAATCTGGGCTCTGTTCAAAAAAAAAGATTCTCACAGATTTGTACTAACCCTTATTATTTTCAACTACCATTTTAAACTAATCAGTGTGGTTAACTATACAACCCTGATTTTGTTCAAAAACTCTATTCACAAATGGACATTTTGAGGTAATGCCACAATTGAAATTTGTAATCATGTACCAACACATGTGCCGGTTGTTTCATTAAAATGCAAGCTCTGAAACAGGATTGAAATTCAAACTTTGAAAGATAAACTGAATGTTTGAGTCTGGAAAGAAATACAAGGGTGAGTTTGAATGTCAAAGAATAAGAATTAGAAAACCATGCTTTGAATGTTGATAATTCAAAAACTTTTTCCTATTTTTTGCTTCCAGGAAAGGCCAGTACCCTCCATGTCAGGACACTCTGATCTAGCATCTCCTAAAGACAACACATCTGACAAAGACAAGGGCAAAGAAGGTGGGTCATCAGGTGAACAACCATCAGGCCATAGGATTCATTACTATAATGAAAGTAAACCATCATCTTGTCCTGTACATGGTCATTCCCCAGGAGAACAACACCAACACAAGCACCCTCCCAGCCGCAGCGAACAGTTGCCAACAACCAAACCTGATAGACCGGAGGAGTACAATCGCTTGTTCCTGCCGCCGCACCCCGACRGACCTGCCATGCTGCACCCCTATATCGTTCATACCTCTAGGGAAGGGCTGTTTGGTCCTCAGCATTTGGTTGAACGGCAAGCAGAGATGTTGAGAGAAAGGGAGAGACAGGTATGACTGTATGCATTGTTTGACATTGCATTGTGTGCAATTATAAAGCAGGGGGTTGGCGGAACACGAGAGAAGTGCAATTATAAAGCAGGGGGTTGGCAGAACATGAGAGAAGTGTTAGGAGAAGCATGATGCGTAGTGGAGTGCTTCTCAACACTTCTCAAGCGTTCTGCCAATCCCCAAGTGCTTTATGACTGCACACAGCACAGCAAGTAATGTTTTTATTTTAAATTAAAATATCCGTTATTTTAGACTGAAAGTGCGAGCACCTGCTGTGTGCTCTCATATAGCACTCACTCCCAACCAATCAGAACGCAAGATTCATAACAGTTATTAACAAATAGACGTCAGTTTTTATGTGCCTTTCCTCTTATTGACGATAAATTGCTTCATCACCTTGTCAAAGTAGTGTGAAATATGAAATATCCGCATACTACTTTGACAATGTGATGATGCAATTTATCGTCAATAAGAGGAAAGGCGCATAAAAAACTGATGTCTATTTTGTTTTTTGCAATAATAAAAAAACGATAAAAACTTCATCTCATTTTTAGTGATTCTTTAAAATGACCAACAGAAAGAGAGCGCGYTTGTTGACGTCAGCTTTATCTGTCCTCTTATCAATGATTAAAAAATAACCAATCAGCCTGCCAGAAATTTGTAAGTTATTGTAAAATAAATAGTAATAAATAATGGAATTTATATTTATATTTTATTTTAGGAAATGATGATGCATCAGAGAATGATGCTTGACCCGAGAGAGCACATGAAAGCTCGTGAAGAAGAATGGCAGCGTCGACAGCATCGTCTTCGACAAGAAAAGGAAGAACACCAGCGTGAAATGGCGCAATACAGGCACCATGTGTTGCAACAGCAACGAGAGATGGAACAGCCAAGAAGAACAGGGGAACAGAGTGGTCTAGATCATAGGCGGTCTGATCACAGACAAGCAGATCATCGCGAAAGAAGTGACAAGGTGCAAAAAACTCTAACCAGTTGATAATCCAGTTGCAAATCAGTCTTGTGCACATTAATATTTACGACATTCAATGTTACTAAAATAGAGTAAACTAAAGGTCGATCAGAAATAGCATATTATTTAATTTAGCTGAGTGGCTGGGTTCTRTAGCTGAAATGACTAAAATTGTGTAAAACTTCATGGAATTTTTTTGTGTTGGGCAGAGATAAAGGTAGGATTGTTTGTGGAAAGCAGATTAAGTGGTGTGTGCTGCTAATGTGCTGACAAACTCACCATCACTTATGAGTAGATAGTTGCTTGTTGTTTCACTGACACTGATCATGGAAGGAGCACCACAGGTTTGTTATTTACCCTAACTCCCATAAAACAAGAACAGTTTCTCATTGTATTTTCTCTATCTTCTGTATTCATATAGAGTCCTCACACAAATGACAGACCAATGCCTGAAAATGAAATCTACAGACACTATCCATTTCATCATCACTTCCACCCACTGCCACATGACATCAGAGCAACACTTCCTTTCCCTGACCTTTCAAGAAAAGATGGAGAAGTACACAGGAGTCATATGGAAGCGATAAAGGATGGGCGGAACCCCCATCATCCACACCCTTTTGGACTTCACGAGCCACATTTCAGACCATTCTCTGAGCCCTACCCATTTCATCAAGATAGATTGTCTTCTAGGACATCTGGATCAGATAGGTTGTTTACAGACGCAAGATGGCCAGCGCACACAAGGCCAACTTACGTGAATGGAGACTTGAGAACAATCGGTATGCATGGTGAAAAGAATAAATCCTTTTTATTCATTCATATGAGAGTCGTTACACTAGCCAGAGGCTAATGTTTATGTATGGGACACACTCCACACACACTATTGTTACATTTAAAGTTTTAAGTCTAAGGCAGCTCTCAACTCACATGTTGGTTTTTGAAATTATGTAACCTGCAACCTAACCGGACTCACAATTGAGTTGGGAAAAGTGAATAATATGCTACTGCTACCCCACCCTTGCCTCATTTATTTATTAATAGAGTATTAGGGGTGAGGTATAATGCCAGCCCCCACCCCTCTCTCCCAGGAAAAAGGTAGAAGGGAATGTAATATTTAATGTCAGTATTACTGTGGTTGTAGACTGATATACATCTTTCTGACATTGAACTTCCTTATGAAAAGGGTGGCTTGTGGAAGGGGAGGGGTAAGGTGTAATGTGAAACCACCCACCCACCACCCCACCCCCAGTGAGAGGTACAGACATTTTAAGGATAAAAATAGTCAATTTTGTTATCACAACTGTAGATATACATTCATCTGACATGAGAAACAAGCTGTCAGAAGACTTAAGTACCAGAATCAAGAAAGAGAGCATGGGTGACCTGTCCAACACTCAGCCCACCATCAAACCCAAGTACCATGACAAGGATAAACTGCGGTTTTTAGAAGGTCTTGGGTTAGTCACTCTAGAGAAGAAAAAAGAACTAACACATGGGGACCCCGTGGTGGTAAAAAGAAAGTTTGAAGAACCACAGGAAGCCCCTTCACAGGATGACAAGGCAAGCACTGTGAGTAATGGAAGAGAAGAGACAGAAGAGACAAGTAGTGAAGGGACAACGGACGCAGAAAGTGGTACAACAAGTACTGATACAGAGATATCATCAAAACAATATAAAGAGGTAAGACATGGGACAATAGCATGTTTACCAAGTGATCTTGGGATWAAAAAATTAACATTTTACTGGCCATTTTTTCCTGTTGTTTTATATTTATTCAGTGGACAAATAGTGACTATGTGAAAATGCGACCTCTGAATTAAAGTGCTCACATATGGGCAATTTGTCGTAATACCTTGTTCACGTTACTAGCTTATTCTCAATATAATGCCAACTATATTAGAAGTATAGTCATGTTTTGATTAGAGTAAAAACACCAAAAGTGGGCAATACTTTGCACTTTTTAGCACTAAGAATTATAGCTGCATTTAAACGATAAAAACAATAGAATTAGCATAATTTGGCCCTCTTTAGTATTATTTATGCTGCGTGCTTTAAGTTTTTGTATTCTAATTATTTGATATTTTTTATTTAGAAAGTAAATTTTATGGCCAGACTAGGATTGGTTCCACCTCAGACAAGAGAAGGTAAGTAACTGTACCTTATTTATCAATTTGACACTGTTTTTTTTGTTATAAAAGAAACATCCTAATGAAAAATATTTATCTGGTGCAAATTAGGCAGAGTGATCAATAAATTGTTTTTCAAAATTGCAGAAATGGAACAGTCATATGAAGTAAAGAGAAGTGAACGCAAGAAAAGAAAAAAAAAGGGAAGAGGACGTCCCTCAAAGCGCTCAAGGAAAGAAACTGTAAGTTTTTTTACCATCCTTCCACCCCAGCCCACACCAGCCCACACCAAATGAGCAGCTGATCACAACCTGACCACACACTGATGTGGCTTCTAAGACAGACACTGCTTTCAACCTGCCCACCTTAACCTGCTAGTTGTTCACCACTCATTCCCTCTCCAATCATTCAGTGGACGTTGGTCGTCTCCAGAGATAGACTTAACAAYTAGTTGATTCAAACATTGACTGCACTTGACAATTTGTTAATGAATCTTCTTCAAAACCCAAAGCCCATAATTAGATATACTATACCCATTGATAGCTAAGCATTTGGTCATGACCAATTCCTAACCCACCCCTCCCTAAGCAATCAGTTGGTGGTTCTCCTTTCCACCTAGCAATCCACCAATCACATCACAATGATTTCTCATTTCTCACACAGATCAATAACGAGTCTGAAAATGGCAGATCATCAATAGATGCCGAGAACTTAGAAGGACCCCTCACTCGTCAAAAACAACAGCAGCTTTTAGAACAGGGCTTATTAAAACAAGACRCCGAAGATAAACCAGAAGAAAATGGTGATCTTAACAGGGACCTGTCAGTCAAAATAAAAAAAGAAGCCGAGGAAGATGCTTCAAGCTCATATTCATACACACAAGAAAAAAGATACAAAAGTTCCAGGGATTCTGGACGATATCAAAGCCCTCCAATCTCGTCTGAATCTCTAGCATCTCGCCCTCCACCACGCCTTACTCTACAGTCACTCACAAACATGGAGGATCCATTTAATAACTACAATACGCCTGCGTTTAGACCCCCTTATCTACGTCATACTGGACTATTATCAGTCTCTCAGGACTTGAATCACCACGGGGGGATTCCTATAAGTCAACCATTACGTCCAGAACCCATACGCAGTACAGGTATATCATTAAGTGAACAAGAAACTAGGGAATATTTGGGTCACCGTGGATCTCCTGGTGTACCACCAGAGTATAACAGACATTATGCAATGTTACCTGGTCATCAAGGAACCAGTTATGACAAAATGATTCCAGTTCATTCAAGACCAGAAGTAGATGTTGAAAAAAGGGTTAGTGTTGGATTGATATCATAGAAATATGTTTTTAGTATTTCTCCCTGATGCGTTAGGAATTTATGCAACTCCAATAATTCCAAGCAGGCATTTTTGTGTGTGTGAGAGGGGAGGCAGTCTAGTATTTGAGGGACCAGTCACTAATTAAGTCGGGGGGGG